GGATTCTGGCCTTTCTTTTAAGCATTACTAAGCATTACTAAAATTAGGGTGAGGGCTGAATTTTTTATCAGGACTCCAGTGTAAAGACTCTTTACCCAGAGTAAAGGTTGTGTTTTCTTGTAAAATCACTTTCAGCCTTCTGTGATATGTGAGCTCCCCATAGATGTGAAAACAAGAATTTGTAGCTGAAGAAAACTATCATTCTTTATAAAAGCAGATCTCCTCTTCCATTCACTCAGACCAAGAGTTATGAGCCAATTTTATTCATCTGAGCGTTCCTGTCCCAGTGGGTGCATGTGTTGCTTTGCCCTCTGCTGCTTGCCTTATGTTTGTCCTGTCAAGGAAGATCTACTCTAAAAAGATGATGCAGGTCTTGCTGCTCCTGATAGATGGCAAAGATTCTCTGGTCATTCCCTGTGTTGATCTCGGTGTATTTGGAGAAGACTGAAAATCCTGGTATGTGTTTTAAGGTTCAAATATAGGTGATGTATTGTTCTGGAAAATAAAAAAAGAAAAAAACACTCATCAACATGTAAGATGAGAATCTGGGAAAGCTCAGATTAGTTTCCTGATCTTCTGAACATCCCAGTGTGCTTTGGCAAGTAACTTAAAGCCAGTTACAAATAGCTGAATTAAAGATGGCAATGGCCATTTACTTCTGCTCTTCATCCAGCACCCCTAGCTGAAGATTGTGTGATAGTTAGGGCCTTTGAATAAGCACAGAAATTTTTCCCAGTCTTGGAGTTTCATAGATAAACAGAATATCCCAAAGATTAAAATTGGTTCAGGCACTTACAAGAGTGGGCACCACATAAAGCCGTAAGATTTGGCTTGCTGTCTTGCTTGTTGTATGAGCATTTATTGCTGAATGGTGCATTTCAAAATGATATCACCTCTCTGAGGGGTTTGTGGAACTTTCTCGCAGAAAGTCAGTGACTGGAGGGGTGTTGGAGACCTGGGTCTTCTTTTCTTACAAATTTCTTATTTCATATTGTAAGTTCAATGTCGCATAACACAGAGATGATCCTGGAAGAAAGGGAAAGAAGCGACACCTTTCTGCTCCAATTAGCATTAATGTAGATATGTGACAAACCAATCTAGGGACTGACTTGGTTGAAAACTAATTTCCCCCTTTGACTTTTTATTTTGTCATGATTGACATAAATAAAATTAAATAGCTTACATGTTTAAATTGTATAGCCAATTGTATCTTGATTACATACACAAATTTTAGATATGTAAAACAGTATTTCTAGTTATGAATACCATATTGATTGACAGATGTGTATTATGCCTTTTAACAGAGTAAAACATTTATAAAAAAGCATGCCTCATACTAAAATAAATAATAATAAAAAAAATCTGCTGCTATGTTACATCTAAAAAATTCTGACATATTGCTTCAATTTTCATTTATATGCATCACTTTTACTGAATCCCAATGATGATTATTATTTTTTTTATCCTTACAGGTACGACTATACCTGACCTAGATATAAGGGTGAAGATTATTCTCAGGCAACACAAAGTATATGATGATTACCTCAATCTGCCAAAAGTGTTGTCTGGAACTAGTGTACTCCTGAACATACCCCAGATCTTCATGCTGTGTTAATCACTTATTGGCCTTACTTGATTATGTCCACAACTGAAGATGTTTACTGCTAGCTCTCTAATGGCTAAAAATGTGAGGTAGTGTTTTTCTGTAATTTATTCTGCCCAAAGGATGGAATAACTTTGTCATTTCATTTAAATGATCCTTACAAGCAAAGAAAGCAGTCAAGTTAGTGTTTTGCAATCCAGAAAATGACTAACCTGGGCTTCACCTCCCCTGTGCTTCTATTACCTCTAAGCTGGAAGAAGTGCTTACAAAATGTCACATACCTGCACTGCTATTCAATTTGTCCTCACAGGGGAAGTCTTTCTAATCTCAGAGAGGTATTGTGAAACACCATTTATCAGTATGTGCAGAGCTTTGAGATCCTTGGCAAGTGGTTAATAGAATGTAAGGTCCTATTATAAGATACTTTATAAAATCAAAATAGGGATTGAATTCTAGTCATATGTACCAACAAATAAAGCAGAAAATATATAAAGCCATTTAAGTAAAATAGTTAACAATTTACAACTAATTAAAATTTAAAATAAATGCTGGAAATAACTCTTTACGGGCCTACAGTTTCCAGCAGAGGCATTCAAATCTTCAGTTCAGTGGCATGACTCTCTACCTCCTAGGGTGCTTGCATCAGGGCTCAGGAGAGTCTCACCAACCCAGGTGATGTGCTGGATGCTGCGTATGACTCATAGCTAACTAAAATTAAATAATGAGAAATAGCATTCAATACCACTCAGCAAATAATAAGGCAGAAAGGAAGAGAGAGTTCCCTGTTGACCGTGGATCTGAGAGGGCCCAAGTGCTCTGCTGCTAAGCAATGAGCCGTAACATATCTGGTGTTTGTGAAACCTGAGGCAGGCAAGCATGTTGCCCAACAAAACACTAAAAACACAGCAATACCACTCTTTTATCTTCCAATGCTTTCCAGTTCATCAACCTCGTGGGTTATAAGTGTGTGGGTCTATCATAAAGATCCTTCTCTCTGGTAGTAATTATATTGCCTCTGATATCTCATGTACTGCCTCAGTAACCTGCCCCCGCACTCAGCTTCACTGCAACTTGAGATGCCCCATAGCTCTGTCCAAATTGTCTGAGAATAGGAATAAGGAGCTATTTTCAAGTTTCTAATCCTTTTAAGGCATGTGCTTTATCTGAAGTGTGACTTCAATTTATAAAACTATGGTTAAATCTCTAGGAATACCACCAGTAAATAAGTGTGATCAGCACATATTTCTGGGGGAAGGCTTTGAGCACTAACTTGTTATAAATACATACCTTGCCCCATGTGGCTTTTGAAGAATGACAATATGCTATCATAGCAACAAGAAGCCACTGTGACTGCTTTCCTTAATAAATATGTTTTTCTAATTTTTTGATGCAAATCACATACAAAAACCAGAATCCAATTTTGTATTATGGTTAATTGAAATGACTTTTGGGAAGGAATGCCATGAATATGTGTGGGGAAAAAAAGATTCTGCTTTTATTATGTAACATATTTCAAATTAATCAGAAAGGGTCTTTTGATGATGTTTTCTTTCTGCGTATTGCTATTTGTGAAGTCACCCTGCCTTAGGATAAGTAATTCAAGCTAGTTTTCTTTACTGCAAGGGTTGATGTTTCCTTCAGTATCAGCTCTTAATTCTGCAGAATCATTTACAGCCAGGTTTTTCTGTTCTTCCTCCTAAGATGTGAGAACTTACAGGCAGATCCAAAGAAAGCTTGAGATTGACTACAGAGGCGATCAGATACCTGATCAGATAATGAGGAACTGCAAGCAGAGGGCATTTTCACACCAGGGGAGAGGAGGCCGTGGGATCTTAGGCCCAGAGTGAGAAAGCTGCTGAATGAATGATCTTCAGATCACAGTTTTTGCATTCGTGTCATTTTACTGGTTATTTACATTGTCATTTTACTGGTTATTTAATATCAAAGAAAAGCAGCGTGTTCCCTCTCTTGTCCCATTCTTGCTGCAGGTTATGAAAAAAGCTCAGAGCTGGAAGAAACAGAACAACCTGACAGCCCAAGCACTTTTCTTCCTTCTTTTGTCTCAGGCTCTGGTGTGGAGTCACTCAGCCAATAGAGGAGAAGGAAAACAGGAGGACCTCTGGTTGCAAGCAGCAACAATTAGGAAGCAAGAAACTGAGGGAAAACAGCAGAGATAGGCGAAGGAATCCCCAAGTTTTTGCAGTTGATTCTATAGATAACTGAAAAAAGTCGCAATTCTTCCTTTTGCTCCTCCCCACACACACCATGTCTGTGCACGCAATTTTACATGTTCATTTGGGAACTGGTCATGATTCAGAAGCAAGCAAAAAGCCTTCACTCTAAGTGCAACAGACAGGTAGCCCAGCAATGTTAAGAAGATAAGTGAGAACTGTGTTGTCTGAAACTAATGGTTTGAAAGGAAAGGAGATAGACATTGGCTTAAAAGAAATAATGCAATGTTATTGCTGGTGCTGCTTTCAAGTTAACAATGCAAAATGAGGGTACAGTAAATATCTTTGTCAAGACTGTCCTCATCCACTTGCACTAAAATTCACAGGAAGGGATCCTAGCATAGGGTCGGCTACTACCGAAGGAGGACCGCACATTACCAAGGAGGCCAGCACGACTGAAAAGACAAGACGACAGAAAGTAATGCAAAAAAAAAAAAAAAAAAAAAAAAAAAAAAAAAAAGGAAAGAAAAGAAAGAAAAAGCGAGGTTCGTTTCCTTTCGCTGTCTCGGCTGCCTGCACCCTCCGCTCACTTGCAATGACAGACTTTTCTTCTCTCCGCATCTCAATTAGGCTGTGCCAACGGGCGGGGAAGGGAATGGCGATGAGAGGGGGCCGGGGGGCGGCCACTTTCCCGCACCACACCGCAGGCCGTACCCACGGCGCGCTCAACAAGCGGCGACCGAAAGGCCGAGGAGGGCCACCCAAAGCGCTGTTTGTCGTTTATTTATTTATTTATATATTTATTTATTTATTCTGGGGGGTGGCGTTCCGTTGCGGACGCGAGGCCACCGCAGCCCCCCTGTCAGGAGCGGCCGTTTCGGCAGGGTGACTTGCATCTTCCCTGCCCCCGCGCCAGCAACGGGGCCGGGGGGAGCCCGTTCCCTCTCTCTCCCCCGCCGAAGCCCACCCTCCCCGTCCCCTGCTCCCAGGTAGGGTCCCCGGGGATCGCCGCCGGCCGCGGGTAGCCCTATGGCCACTAACGGCCGCGGCGTGGCCACTAAACGGGGCTGCCCCCCCCGGCGGTGGGCGCTCGGCTGGGGGCGGCTCGACCGCGGTCCCCTCCGTGAGCCCCGTGACACGCCGGGGCCCCCCTCCCTCGGCTGCGGTGTGCCGTAGAGAGGCGAGGAATGGTTAAACACCGGTCTTTTTATACATGCGTCTTTTTTTTTTTTTTTTTTTTTCCTTCGTCTTGGGGCTTTCAGCTTACAGAAAAGGAAAGCATCTGATGCGTCTGCTCACATGCCACTTTTGGTCATACGTTGCTTCTTTGCACAGAGCAGGATCGCTGGGAAAGATGGAGATACAATAAGTTGCTAGTAGTGAAAAGTGCTGCAGAAATAACCCGGCGGTTTCCCTTCTCCACCGAAGTGACATATTTTTTTCCTCGGGTTAAGTTGAAACCGCTGCCTGGCGGAGCCTGACTGTAGCTGAGAGTGGGTTTGTGTTTTTCTTGCACCGTTAGGTTTTGCAAAGAGCGGCGATGAAGAGGAAGCTGGCACCCTCCAAGATGCAGTTGGTTCTTCTCGTTTTATTGGTGTGGCTACCAACAAGGTGAGGGGATGTTTAATTGTGTCATTCGGTGCAAACATATATGTTATGATCTTCTAAGGGTAAGCTTGTGTGAGAGGTTATAGAAGCGGAGTGTATAGTAATGTAATAAAAATCTCTCTTAGCTGTTCGAATGCAGTATTACATAGTTTCCAGAGCAAATGCCGTGGGAGAAGGCAGTCCGGGGATCATATAAACGTTAACGACTTGTCCTTAAACAGTTTGTGAATTAATGCTTTATTTCATTGTGTCAAAGAACTAAATTTTAAATGCCTTATTGTAAAATCTGATTCTTAAAGATATATTGGAGTTACCCTATCACAGTGATTCTGTACCATACAGAACAGTTAAGATGGAGAAATAGATTATTGTGGTCAAATAGCAAATCATAGTCTAAAATAATGCTGGCTTTTTTTTTTTTTTTTTTTTTTTTTTTGATACGGGCATGTCTTTTTTTTGGTCTCTTTTTTGGTCAACATAACAGAATTCAGAATGATACGTAAGCTTTACACCTCTAGGTGGAGATAGCATACAACTTCACAATCTCATATAATAAAACAATAGCTTCATTTATTAATCAACTTTTTTATTTTGTTTGAAGTTCCCCATTTCTAAAGTGACAACATAAGAGAAAGTAATTTTAATCATACAATTAGTTTTGTGTTTCCTATGGACCCTAAACATCCATAAATTGTAGTTTGTAACTTTGGTTTACTTGCTTTGGTTCTCACTGCAGTAGGTCTTGTCCTAATATGGTACTGGTCATAAGCTAAATAATGCAAGTTTCAGATGATTTAAAATGTCTACATTCATCTTTGTCTATTTCCTAGTGAACAAAATATTTCCTGAAACTATATTTCCTATTTCACTTTATACCTAACAGTGGTGCAGCATTAGTTGAGTCACAGTGGGCCAGATCCTGCAAACCCTACTCAAGTGAGTAATCGCACTGACGTCAAAGAGGCTACATGCGTAATTAAGGAGTTTATGCCTGAGTAAAGTTTGCAGGATTAAACCCTAATTTGATACAATTCTATGATCTAGTTTTTTTCATGGTATCCTGACTTCAAAAAAAAACAAAACTGTTATATCTGAAAAAGAAGCTTAAAAATGGCAGATACTTAGAGCACAGAAATAGATTAAAAAAAAAAAAAAAGAAGTGAATCATCTAGTAATTAAGAATAAACTCACATAACAGTAATATCACAAATGATATTTTGGTATTTGTTATAAGTTATCTGATTTGGGTTGATTATGTGGTTTGTGTAATGGAAAGCACAGACTGCAAAGATTTACATGTAAATACTTCCTCCATGCTGTTGAATTGGGGACCAACAAAAAGCCATGTCTTTAATCATTTTATATCTTGCTTGAAATAAAATGTCACCTAAAACCACTTCTGGTTTAGAGTAGGAAGAAAACATGCTCATTTTTATGCTGTGATTAGTCATTCAGAATGGCTTGATCGGTAGCTTATTTAGGGATGATAACTACTCAAAATTTCAGATCAAACATGTAGATGGCTAAAAATGCTATAAATTATAGTGCATGTAGCAAATGATGCTTTGCTTCCTTAATACTTAATGCTCTCCTATTAAGTAGGTACTTAATGAGCTTGTGCATTTCACATGCATGGTACTTAAAATTGTCGGTACAGCAACATTTGCATGTGTAAGGGTTTGTGCAAGGCAGAGTTTTCCTAGTATGCAAAACCTTTGGTTTGGGTGTCCAGGTCTGGGAGGACTGTTCTAGCCACAGCTGTGGGCAGCAGGTTCGTGCTTCAGCCCCTAGTCTATTCCGTAGTCTATGACCCATAAATACTGGAACATCTCTTTCTTTGTTGGGAAAGTTTGAAGCAATTGATGACCTATAGATTTTTCTTGACACTACATATATGTTTTTTTCTATCTAACTTTTATAAGGCTTGTCTGCATCTAGTGGAACCTCAGATAGTGCTTTTTATAACAAAACAGCATTTTAAAAACAGGAAAGCTATCTGCAGCTATCCTGCAGCTTACTAGTCAGCGTCGTTGTTCCCACCCACCAAGTACTGACATCAGAGGACTCCCTGAGCATGATTGCTGGAGTTTTCCCTCATGTTAGTTCTTCTGGTCATGTACTTAACATGACCATTGGGTGGAGGCATATCCACAGGATTTATCCAGAGAGAGAGAGTACGCTTAGGTGCGGACTGATAGAGCAGGGCTGGAAGGAGACAGTTCTGTGTGTGGGAACTCGGGTTATCAGTCTGCAAGTGACATGCCACTGGGACCTGGGAAGCTCTTCCAGGCTTTTGTACCTGGACAGCCAAATGTGTTAGTGCAGCCTCACTGTGATGTAATATTGAATAGAAGTAGAGGCTACTGGAGAATCACTACCAGGAAATTTTAAGTGATATGCCATAGACTGTTATGTTTCTGACCATATTATACATAAATTGTGTATTCATAGACTCTTAATTGCACTTTTTGTGTTAGAAGGCAAAAAGGTAAATATTCAAGGCCAGCCGGCAAAAACTGCATGTTGAGTGTATACTAAAACATATCTAGCACTTTCTAAAATGTAAAATATCCATTTAGATCAGTGCTGGCTGACTCCCTGGAAGACGAAGCTAAGAATAACATCACCATCTTTACAAGAATTCTAGACAGACTTCTGGATGGTTATGATAATCGTCTTAGACCTGGATTAGGAGGTAAAAAAAAAAATAATTAAAAAAAAATTAAAGATTGATTTTAAAAAGCCAGTTTTACTGTACAGATTTTATGTGGTGATATTCTTTTTTTTTTTTCCCTAACAACTGATATGTATTTTTATAAATTATTTATAACTATATTCACACAGTTGAATCATTTGAAGTTTGAGGAAGATAACATCTATGAATGGAAAGGAGGCACTTTCACACATTTATCTTAAGTAAAGAGAAAAAAATCTGAAGATTTAACATAGTAAAATGGAATGAGAACAAATATCTAAATTTGTTATTCCAGTCAGGAATTTTTTTTTATTTTTTTTTTGAGCTAGGAACACAGGCTTGATTCCCTGCAATGTGACGAGTGCATGTTTTTAGAAATATGCACAAGTGTTTTGTATGGTATGTAAAATTCACATTTTAGATTCATTCCTTGGCCTGGTAAACCCAATGGGAATGTTGTATTTTTTACTTCATTGAAAATCAGGGTTTGACTCATGAATAGAATTTGTTCCTGGGTACCTTTGGTCATTAAAAAAAAAGGGGGGGGGGGAGAGAGAGAGAATACTAGAGGACAGAAATCCCTGCATTTGTGCCACGGCTGTCATTTTTTTTTTCCAAAATGTCAGTTCATATTATCATTTTCAAGCTCTATGCCAGCTAATGTAACTATGTAAGCAAGGAATTTAAATAATTTGGTATTGCAAGTATTGTGCAGAATAATCTGTATGGTACGGGGAGGGGCATGATGCCTTGTTTTTGACAATACTTTACCTGCTGTTATTATTTATGTGCTATTTATACTGAGTAACAAATATTTATGCATCGATAATAACACTATTATTATTACTATTCATAACAGTTTTGGTAATGGTAGTTTTCAGCCTGGAGACTGTTTCAGCTTACTAAAGCTAATTCTAGTGTAAAATTCCTGGGAGCTGTTGCTGCTCCTGTTGATTTCAGTAAGATCAGGATCAAAGCTAAAGATCTGCTCAGACCTCCATGGAAATTACCCCAAGAAACTCCATTTGATCAAATTAGGAGTTAGTTAAAGCTCACAGTTTTAACAAACATTTTTCCATCCTGACCTGTGGCTCTGCTGCTGTTCTAGTTCTGGAGAATCTTGACTTGCATCTGACGCAGCATAAAGTGGGAGCTAGCACTGGCTGGCAACAGCTTTCTCGTTTTACATTAGTCTTAATCTGAAATATCTTCATTTTTTTTCAGTTCTGTCCTCTGATACACTTGAGATTTGTGAAATAGTTTATATGAAGGACTGTTTTATTTACATAATCCATAAAATGAAATTTTCAGCATTGTAGATGTGAGAATCCATATAATGATATTTTACATGGAGATTCAATTTTTCTGCAAAATACTTGATTTTAAGAACTTGGACATAATATGAACATACAGTGCTTTGCAAGAAACTTGCAGAAACATTTCATATCACAAGCTTGAGTTTAATTTGCAGGGCTTGTAATCATGGTTTTTATTAGAAAAATAATGATAAGTTCTTTTCCTGTTTACAGAAAAAGGATGTGCTATTTAATGAGAACAGTCTGCAGTTCCTTTGCATATCATGTGCTCTTTTGAATATTAAATTTTATATTTTTTATAACATGAATTTTGAAAACAAATTTACTAACATATATTTATTTTATATTTTCCATTAAATCTACTTCAAAATATCTTCCACTTTTTCTTTGCCAGGCCTTCTAGGTAATTAAAATATACTTTGGGAGCATAAAAATTAAAGAATTAACATCTGTTTGGTATTGGCATACATGGCAATCAACCCATGCAGAACATGTGTGAAATGAAACTATGTCATGCATATTAAACCGTGATGATTCATGATGCATTAATGGTAATCTGCAAGAGTCCTTCAGTTGTGGATGGACAGATTCTGATAGTTTAAAAGAATACTTGTAAAATTCAGTCATGATAATCTATGATACAAACTGCACCAAACAATGCTTTTTTATTTAATGCTTAATAATTATGGAGATTCCTATTTCAGAAATTTTGTAGCAATTTATTCCCTTTTCTTTGTTAACCTGAACTCTGAAAAGGAAAATGGAAATTATTATTCTGTTTTCCTTTTTTAAAGACACTATGTGCTTAGTGAGTCCTGATAATTTCTAAAAGTGCTTTTGCATAAACTACAGTACTTTGACCATGCTGCATGTCATTAATTTAATATCCTTAGGTTCAATTCTGTTCCAGTTGCATTTCTATGATTCTGAAATAATTCAATTGAAACTAGTAGAGCATTTGCTTTGGCATAGCAGCTTGCATTATCCTCCTA